CAGGAATTGTTTTGATCTCAACATCTGGCACAAAAGTGTTTGAGTGTGTGTGTGTATGTGGGTGTATACACACGAGTGGAGTAATTAAAGGAAGTGGTAAGGTGAGACCTCTGTGAATGTGTGTTTCATTAGCAGTGGTGGATGTAATGTTAGGCAGCTGCAGAGCGAGAGGTTAAAAGTTGGATTTGCAGGTGAGACAACTTTTCACACTGCAGTATTTTTTTTAAAAAAAAGTTCTGTCCATCTCCATGGGTGTTAAACATCTGTCCTCTGTTAAATGACTTAACGATAGTTTTTACGCTGTCTATCTGACAGTTATTTTCAGTGTCTGTGAACTTATGTTCCAGCTGTGTTTTTTGTGATTTGAAGTTGTGATTTTTTTTTAAAGGGAACGGCCAGTGCTGTCCAGGGAAGATTTGTGCAGAAAAACTGCCTCCAATAACTGTTCATCCTAGAGAGCAACGTTAGAACAAAGCCAAATGGAAACCTTTTGCATTTTTGTATTTTTAATGAACACAGCAAACACACTCAAACGCCAAGAGAACAGAATGGAATTCATTATAATTTCCCAGGTGCCACATGCTTGAACATTTGATCCAAACCTTTAAATTCTCCACAACTTTGTTTATAAATCTTGATTAAGCTTCTTGAAGCAATATTTTACTTGGAATCTTATAATCTGTAACTCCTGAGCCAGCCTAGGTATTACTAGTACGTGATTGAGTTTGAAGAGGAACTTAATGCATGATGAATTATGTTGTATGTATATCTTGTGGTAGAACTATTTACTGGACATGGTCATAACATCCGCTGTCCCGAGAATTTTGATCTCAGATAGCAGGCAGCGTTAGTGCAGGCCTGAATGCACTCTAAATGCCTCCTTAGATCTGATTGTAAAGACCACATCGACAGACGGCTTTAGGACACACGTCGACACATTCTTGAACAAGCATCTGTTATTACTGACATTAGAATTTATGGACACATTCTTGAACAAGCATAGATGCAATCTGTTATTACTGACATTAGAATTTATAGAGTCATTAAGAGGAAACCCTTAGAAAGTCTTTTTTTTTTTAAGTCTAATTATTGAATCATACTTGTTTTTTGTCTGTATATTTTATACGCAAGTCCAGTTTGATCCTAATTTGTCAACAACAGCAGAAAAGCCATTAGCTTAATGTCAGGTGTGAGCAGCTGCACTAACTGTACTTTTCACATGTGTTGTTAATGGCACTTAATATTAATGTCAAAGCCAGGTCTAAAAGGGGCCATAGTGTTTCCTATGCCTTGGCCAAAGGGTTTGGCTCTGAAAGAGGGGCTGTTAATCAACCACACGTGCACCTGTGTTTTCCATTTTGTGAGCATGAGTCATGGCGACTCAGAGAAAAATCGGTGAAAAGCAGGGGGTTACTCGTTTTGTTGAATTTGTCTTTTACGCGAGTGGTGTTCAGATCAGCCGCAGGACGTTAGAAACTGCTGTGAGATTAAAATACAATTTTATAAAATTGTCTCAAGGTACATGGGGTAGTTGAAGTCTCAGGTGTCTGCTGTTAGAAAAAAAAAATCCTTGAGTGTGACTCGTATATAAAGTTTAAAGTAGGGGGGAAAAAAATTAAGCATCTAGAGATTACAATGCCAAAAACCTGCTTTTAGTCATTGGGAAAAGTAAAATATAATCAAATACATCGGGAAAATTAACAAAGAAGTAGAGTAAATGTGGTGGATAAGAGTTTAAAAATGTCAAAACTAAACTAAAAATTCTTCTATATTTATAGATGTTTGCAAAATATTATAGAAAGCCAATCGTAGTTAATAAAGTTTAGTACAAAAAAAATTGTACATTCTTGAAAGGTCAGCCAGAAAACAAGGATTTTCAAGAGTAGCTTAAAATAAGCAAAATACCCAAGACAACAACTAAACGGTACCTGGACTAGTTTAAAGTATTTGTGTTTCAGAACATATGGTATCGGTTGTAGCTAGACAACTAAAATGTACCTGGACCAGTTTAAAGTATTTGTGTTTCACTTATGAAATCAGAACATATGGTATCGGTTGTAGCTACGTTTCGCGAACAGCTCCAGTTAACTGTGCTGCATATTTGCGTGCCTTTACTTTGAATTGCAAAGGGTGGAGGTAGTTAATGCAGAACAGATGTACAATCATAAGGTGAACCGTAAATATCTTTTCCCTGTGATACATGTCCCTCTGCAGAAATGTACATTTTCCTGGAATTCATTTCAATTTTTTTTTTGAAGCCTCTTTGCAGGAAAAAAAAGTTGCAGAAACAGACATGGGGGCTGCTGTGAGTAAAAACAACTTCAACTGTGTGTACACCACAACTACCTCAGACTTACGCCAGACAGTGAAAGATCCCCACCAGTGGAAAAAGTGTGTCTGTTTATGTACGCAGTCACACTCGGTGTTTTGGCGAATGCCCTCAAAAAAATAGTTTCAATCCGCGAGATGTGCATTTAATCCGGTTTCCACCCAACCGGAGCTGTGTCGACCTGGGATAAAGGCTAACGGGATAGTTGTAGGTCATAAGTTTTCCACCATTTTTTTCATATGACCAGTTCAGAGGTGCTGAAATAGTCCTCATCCTTAGGCAAAACAGCTTGGTAGCAAAAGAAACACCTCATGTTTACAATGGAAACTGCAAAACCTTAAAAGAAAACTCCCTCCCACTGACGTGTTTGTTTCTTCTGAATTGATGTAGACTCCAGACCGAATTGCTGACTGATGTTGTGCTTGGCAAGGTTGCTTTAGGGAGTAGGAAGGCAGGAAGAGGAAAGGAGGGGAAAATCCAAGATGCCTTGTGCAGTGCTGATATTGCAGTATTTTGGCAGACGACTGGAGTCGATGATGGGACAAAATTAAAAACGCAGACCTGGAAATAAGTCGTTCTAGTTAGCTGCGAGAAACCTTGCTTGATTATATTGGTTCTGTAATTGTATTTTTAGCAGCATTTTCAACAGTCCTCCCAGCCAACGGCCTAGCAAACAATGTGTCAACTGCTTTGCAATAAGTTGATACCTGAGGAACCTTCACAGACAGAGCTTTAAATCAGACAAAACTATTGCTGTAAAAGCTTCAAGTCCAAGAGTAATGAGCAGATATTAATGGAAAGGAAATTAGCCAATCAGCTGGAATTCCCATGAAATGTCCGAGCCGTTTCCTGTTAGCTGAGCTCAACCCAGCTGGACCTTCAAAGGCCGGTTTGATGGAGGTGTTTTTGAGGGGCTAAACATCCACCGAAGCCTGTGTTGACATGTGGTTGTACACAAAAGAAACATGCCACCTTCCTGCCTCGGTTCGGACTTTTTGAAAGTTAGTTATTACAGCTTTTTGAGTTGTTTGCTTAGCAGCTAGTCATTTATATTGGTTAGACTTCAAATATCCCTTTTGAACTGATTTGAAGTTGGTTAGACTTCAGTCAGTCAAATATCCCCTTTGAACTGATTTGAATGTTGTTGTTTTTTTTTTTCTTCTACTAGACGTCTCAGGCATCTCTGGGTATAACCTTCTATCCCCAATTTCAAAGTCATTCACAGCTGCTGTTTGTAAAAATTCAGGAAAGGGGCCTGTCATTTCCCGGCCATAAGCGGTGTGTTTTTAATGTTGAAGATAAACACTGTTTCCTTGCCACCTAGAGTGGTGAAAGCCACTGGATCAGTTACTTCAACCAAGGATAATTGTGGGACTTTTTAAGCGTACTCAAAAGCATCTGAAAGGAAAGACAATATTCTGACAGAAGTGTAGTCTTTTTGGGGTTTTCTTGGGTGGCAATGTTGTTGTTTTTTGTTTTGTTTTTTTTGTCTCATGACCATATTTGATATGCATCCATCACAGCTAGGGATGTCCGATGTTAACTTTTTGCCGATATTGTCCAAACATTTAATTCCAATATCAACCGATAACGATATATGTAGCCGTTTTGGTTACATTTCATTGTGTGTCATAATGACGATACTGTTCTCAGTACTAATGAACCAATGGTTTCACTGTCAATTCAAAATTATTTTTAGGTCACACATTGTTTAGTGAAACCTAGGCATTGCGTTATCGGGTTTTCATCCTCGGAGGAAAAACCGATTTAAAAAAAAAAAAAAAATCTTACCGATACTACATAATTAAGCTAATATCCGCCAAAAATATCGGTTAGCCGTTATTATCGGACATCCCTAATCGCAACAATTATTTGCTAGTTAAAATGTTGCCCCCTGCTAGCCAGTAGGTACACAGATAAACGTTTAATTTTTAAGAGCGTTGGGTTGTCTTTACACTTTATCATTTATTCTGTTCATTTAGCCTCACCTAATATTTTAGGTAAAAATGATGATGTATAAAATCACGTTTTGGACGTTACTTACTCTTTTCTCTTCTGAAATGTTTGTATCCGCTCTCGTCGTGTGTCCAACCATGCAGTGGTGCTGGTTGCCGTGTTTTTGCACAAGTCTCCGTTGCCACCTTACCGGAGAGGATTCTTCTGCAGTGACGACAGCATCAGGCTGCCCTATAAGAGCAGCACAGTGACCAACACCGTGCTCACAGCAGTGGGCATCACTGTGCCGGCGGCCTCCGTAAGTCCTAGTGTGGTGCAGCAGGAGAGAGACGAGAAAGCACACTGATGACGCTCGCTCAATTCTCCCAGTGGTTGGTCTGACAAGACAAGACAACTCAAAAATGTTCTAAACATTCTAAATCTTTTACATGCTAATTATTTAAACGAAAATCCAGCTTCTCATATACCTGTACCCAAAACAGAATTCTGTCATTATCACGATATGATTCCCAAATAACAGCCACAAAATGAATTGAGCCAGTCGCAGGTGTTGCTCTCGTTACCTCCTGTTTGTACCTGCGACCTCTGTAATATGGGCATCATTAACCAGGCACCTCCATCTTTCTCTGCTATCCACCTCCACCTACCCCCCCCCCCACCCCCCCCACCCCCCCCCTCTTCCCCCCTCCCCCCCCCCCCCTCCCCTGTGCCTCATTAAGACAACACACAATTAAAGTGTGTGTGTATCAGTGTCAATCCCTGCTATTAGCACGGCTGCCTGAATGGCACTTGGCAGAGTTGAATCACAGCCTCCTCCTCTCAGACAGACAATCAGCTCACACACACACACACACACACACACACACGGTCGATGCCCAAACATGCTAACAGCTAATGAGCTGGACTCACACACTGACCGCGGTCAGCTGATCTGACGGCTGTGACACCGCGTGGACACCGTGTGGAGTCTTCACCTCCACGTCCTTGGACTTGATTCAACCTGTTGAATAATTTAAAAAAGACGTCACGTCACGTTGACCACAGACTCTGAGTGGACGGTGAGTGGGAGAGTCAGCTGCTGACTGGGGATTCTGGGTAATATCCTGGGAGTTCCAGTTCTTTTAGTAGAGCTGACTCTTTTCCTCATGATAACTTTCCTTCTTAGCAAAGGGTTAGCCGTGTCCAATTTTATATATGGTCTGTTGCTTAGAAACTTCCCAAAGCATGTATTTCTAAAAGTACTTTACCATGACAATATTAGCAACATTAGCATAGCACTCAGGTTTTCCATTAAATATTCCTGATGTTAACAGTATTAACTTCTAAAGTGTTGAGAATTATATATATTATGGATTTTTTTTAAATCTTTTGCAAAGTTCCCTGTGGTATTACCTTGTGATGGGAGTATGCTAACCCTAACCCGATATGTCGATACCTACACAGGTTTTCTTCCACATCTTTTAGGGTAACTTGCAAGATTGCGACATGCTAGCTTTTATGGTGCAACACCCGACCATGTCAAATTAAAGTGATCCATTCATGTCATGTGACCACTGACCAGAAGAGAGCAGTGTGTCCAGGACGTCACTGGGAGAGTCCTTAATGGACCTTAATGGTAGCAATTAAACTATGTAGGTTACATGGCGTAAAAATAATGTCATTTGTTGATATGTGTTTAAATGAAGATCGTAATTGAAGTTATTGCTTAAAAAAAAAAGTAATCATATCATATCGAATTCAAATCAAATTAAACACTGCCTTAATGATGCGTCGTTGCCATCAACATTTTCTCCCGCAGGAGAGCAGAATCGTGTGTGCTGCTTGAGGCCATAAACATGGGTTTTTATGGTGAGAAGTGGCTGCTCTGGCCCTGTGTAATTATGGTTGACGCAACGGTCGCTGGGTTAAATACTGTAATTGGTGGTGCAGAAATGTGGTGGAGGCTTAAACAAGAAGACCTAACCAAACATTTTGTTTTTAACCCTGCTTGGCAAAACTTGACGTTACAATTCCGACAGTACCACCTCTGCCGGAGCGCTTTTCGCACCCTTGCGTTTTTTCGGAACCAAGAAGGATCATTAAATCATTAGGGCGCTTGATTTGTACAAATCTTATGTAGCGTAACGTGCAAAATTGGAAATACATGCAAAACAATCATCCCATTCCCATAGATTTATTTCTTCTTTTTTTTTTACACGTGAAACCAAAGCATCAGATGTGTTTCAAGCTGGCTCCAAAGGCCTGTCTGGTGGAAACAACACACTCAATCATCTTGTTAAGTCTCCTGAAAGGGTTACCCCCCCCCCCGCTCTACAATTTAGAGTTTCCGAGATTGATCTAAACCTTCATGTCTCATGAAACCAAGATACTAACATGAGAGCAGCCAGACATCCCTCGTAGAACTGGAGAGGCTTTCAAAGAGAGGGAGTGGTGAAAAAAACACTACCGTGCCCCCGACATGTGCCCTCAAAGAGTCTGGCCACCGAAAAAAAATCTGACACGATGCCTAGCTCAGCATTTCTGCTGATTAGAACCAGCAGTGTCTCCCCCCACTCCCTCCCTCCCTTATTCCAGACATTATTTCTCATCTTACCTTCCTCACTCTCTACTTGTTTGCATTCCACTTTTTTTTTCTTTTTTGCTTTCTTTCTGCCCTCCTGTCCTTCTAGTTTTCCTCACATCCTTCCATCGTCTCCCTGTAAATCTCCCGCACTCTCTTTTTAGTATTCCTTTTCACTTCTTCCACTGGCGAGGGGGTAAAAGACCCTATAAAGCTATAGGGACGGTAGTATTAGAGCTGGAACAGCTGTTACGAGTTACTGCTATCCACTTACCCCACCCCCCCACTTTCAGATGGTAGTTTATTTACACATTTACAGAAAAACTATACATTTGACGACAGTCTCATCGACCTCCCACGTTTAGAAGTAGAAAACCGTGCCCAAACCTAATTAACTACAAAGTAGGTATTTTTGTTGCAAAAAAAAAAAAAAGTAACTACTCAAAGCTTTACATTTAAACTCTCGTGGTACGTTATTGTTTTTTAATAATACTGTTAATAGTACAGTGGAGCCTCGTAACTCGAGGAGCTCGTATCTCGAATCATTTTTTCCCAAATGAAATAACAGAAAAAAAATTAATCCGTTCCAGCCTTCTAAAAAACTCTTATTATTAGTGCTAATAACAATGGAAAAAACATGTGGTTTTAATTATGAGTTCTTACCTTCGAGACAGACGAAACAGTAGCGGATAACGGCGGTATGTGCGGAGGAGGTGGGAGGAAGGGAGGGAAGAGAGTTGGCCCTAACGTAGACACTTGATTCCATACTGTAACTTAGTAACTTGCATAAACTTACAATTAACTTGACTTATGTTTTTTACTGACATCAAGTTCTTTTATGCCACTCCAGATCATCATCGGAGAAAGCTACAGGATCTACTTCCTGAACGAGGGCTCCAAGTCTTTTGTAGGAAACCCCTACATATCTGCTCTGTACAAGCAGGTGGGAGTTTTCATCTTCGGCTGTGCCATCAGTCAGTCCTTCACCGACATCGCCAAAGTGTCAGTTGGACGCATGCGTCCGCACTTTCTCGACGTCTGCAAACCTGACTTTTCTACTATCAACTGCTCTTTGGGCTACATCACTGACTACCAGTGTCAGGGGCCAGAGAGTAAAGTTCAAGAGGCTAGGTAAAAAAAAAATTAAATTAAATTAAACGTAGAAAACATCTTATTTTTAGATTTAAAAAAAATAGACAAAAATACAATCTGCCCTGTGTCTTTCAGGAAGTCCTTCTTCTCCGGACATGCATCGTTCTCGATGTACACAATGCTGTATCTCGTGGTAGGTCGCTGGTTGTTTTGTTACACGTAAATCCCACGCGTACATTACATACGCAACAAAAATTGAAACCCATAACTGTCTCTCTTTACAACAGTTTTACCTGCAGTCTCGTTTTACCTGGCATGGAGCCCGTCTGCTGCGTCCGCTGACTCAGTTCACGCTCATCATGATGTCCTTCTACACTGGTTTGTCTCGTGTCTCTGACCACAAACACCATCCCACCGATGTCCTGGCAGGCTTCATACAGGGGGCCCTGGTGGCGTACTGTGTAGTAAGTGATTCATTTACTGTATACACAATGTTAAGCCGACACTTTCAAAGCTGCATGTTTAAACCTGTATTTATATTTATATATATATATATGTATATATGTATATATGTATAGTAACGTACAGTTGCTCTTAGAGACTTACAGCTAACTTCAAGGGTACTTCAAGGCTTTCCAAACAATGCAATAGTAATTAAAAAGAAATCTGTAACTGTCGGAAGTACAATTTTTGACCTTCTTGTTGAGGGCATTTTAGGTAGTCCACAGGGGTTAGCACGTTGGTAGCCCCTGATCTCGGACATAAAAACATCAGAAGAGTCTTAGAGACTTACACTTAGGAGCCATAATGAAGGGCAAAAACGACGCAAAAAAAAAAAAAAAAGCAAAAGTAGCTCAAAGTAATCCAACCAGCAAAACGTAAACAAAGCTATCATCCGCGTATAGTGCATAACGTGACGATGTTTTTATCGGCTGCGTTTACTAACTAGTTCACTCGCGAAATTTCGGAGGGACGACGACGACGGTGGTAAAATGTGCCTAATAATTTGCCTAATTTTTTTCCCTGTCTCTTTTACAGGTTTTCTATGTGTCCGACCTGTTTAAGGCCAAAGGCAGACGTACCGCACAGCTGCCAACTCCAGTTAAAAAAGATCTTGTTTCTCCCACAGACATCAGGGAACGAGGCAACCATCTCATCATGGCGTAGTGAATGCCGGAAAAAATGACTGTGTGTTTGTGTATGTAACTCTTTCTTCTACTATTCCCAGCACTACCATGGGTGAATGCTCGTAGTTGATAAGGAATCACGAGGGTGAAAAGGGTTACAGACGGACGTAAATCCAGTGCTGCGCTGTGCTGTGCTGTCTCTCACCAGACATTTAGAAGACGAAAAAAAAAGGTTCCTCTGCTGTCTTCCCCTTTGATGTGAAATAGAAAACTGGAACGACACATAGGTTGTTAGGTTAGCTCTGTTGTGCACTCACCCTCGCCGATGCACGTCAAACAAATTCCTGGATTTCAGGAAGGATACGATCTTGATTGGTTTTAATACACCAGTATGTACCGTGTACCTATGTACTGTATGTATATACATACATATGTGTATATATACAGTATATATATATGTATGTATACGTGTGTGTATGTATATATGTGTATATATATGTGTGTTGTTGTGTGTGTATATGTATATATGTAAGCATATATATGTATGTATATATGTAAGCATATATATGTATGTATATATGTCTTATATGTATAAATATTGACTGAGTTTTTTTTTTTTAAAGCACTATTTTAGCTTAAGTGTTTGTCACTACCACTTGAATGATACCTGAAGTGAAAGCTTTGTAAGCTTTTGTATGATTTTTTTTTTTTTATCTTTTTTTTTTTTTTTTAATAATGTGCTCCTGATAAGAGTGCGCATGGGTTAGAGCAGTTTCAGTAGGTGGATTTAAGATGCAGTAAGTGCAGTGCAGATTTGAGATGTTGGACATGGGCCTCCTTCTGCTGGC